CAGCTGCATATATTGCAAAATAAAATTTCAGCTTTTTTTTTTTTTAAACAGTAGATATACAATTACAGTAGATAATGAAAGATCCATCACCTTTCATCTTACCATTCTGCTGAAATGTAATAGCTTAGCTCAAACTAAAGCTCAAATGCTTAGTTTGGAAATTTTATTTCTGGACTCAGCATAAAGCAAGGATTTCTTTTTTTAACATCTGAGGTTCTTTCAGATGTTTGCAGAACAGGAAAAAAAGGATGCATACATTCAGAGTTTAAGATTAAAGTGTAATGCTTCACATATGAGAGCACAAATCAAGACAGCTTGTTCATCTGAAAGCCCACAAGCTCAACTTAAAATACAGTCATCAATCTAGAGTACCTTCTTTCAATTTACATGAACATCCATTTCATTTTCAAGATGCACATAAACTTGTGCAGGCAGATGAAATGTTGTAGTATCTCTGAGTGGATTCAAATTCAATTCAAAGCAAACAAACAAAAAAAAAGTAAAGTTTCTCACGTGTTACAAAGTAATTTTAGAGGCAAAGGAAGTTAATTCAGCATTAGGATGACAAGTGCCAATGCACATAAGATATGCAAACAGCTTATAAACTCTTACCGTTAACACATTGGTTATCAACATCACTGAAATGCAGAAGAACACTTAAGAGTGGACTCTTGCACTTAAGTAACTGTATACCCTTTAAAATACCAACAAAATCATGTTCCTTTCCACCTTCTGAACAAAAATGCTGCCGAGTTAAAAAAATGGCATACCACACATGGGAGACTGAATTCATCCATCATTGTTATTAAAACAATATTTCTCTATTTACATTGTGGCAAACAGGCCGAGACAGACTGAGACAAGCTAAACTCAGCCAGCAGATTTCCTCTGTCCAGAAAAGGAAGTAAGTAAAGCCATGAACTTTTTTGTAGATTGTGAAAACAGCACCCAATGCCAGGCTTCCCTCATGGGCATCCAAAGGAAGCAGCAGACAAGACATGACAGTGGAGTCTTCCCAGGAAGGGTAGGGAAGTTGGAAGGAATGCTTACTTAGACGGGAGTAAGAAATTCACTACCTCTTGAATGTCTGACTAAGAACAGACTTCTGGAGGAAGATACTGGAAGACCCATCCATTTGCACTCTGCTTGCCATGTGGC